GACTCACACCCTTGCCCTCGGCACAGGGCTTTGTTCTCATTTACCATCATGGATTAACCATAAATTTGTAGTCCTAGTTTAAAGGTTAATAAGTGTTAGTGCATGTCACTGTGTTTATTTTTCAATCTGAATCTTGTAAGTAATGCGTAGGTTTGCATTCCTTTAGTTCCTAAATGTTTTTTGACCTTTGATATCTCTGTCAAACTATACATGCTTTTGGAAATGAGAGACATGTGAAGCCTACTTAATGAGCACCGTGTGGGGAGGAGGAGACAGTCTGAAGAGAACAAAGGGTGAGATGCTCTAAGAGGAACTAACAGGAGAGGACCCACTTTAGCCTGGGTGGTCCGGGAATGCTTCTCGGAGGAAGTGACATGTAGAGTGAGACCTGAAGGGTATAAAGGAGCCAGCAATGCGAAGCACCTGCACAGAGGTCCAAAGGCAGCCACGTGCGTTCTTCCTCCATTCCGCATGGAAGAAAAGCGGGCGGAGCGCACAGGCCTGCAGTTACCAAGATGCCCCTCGGTGGCTTCATCTTTATTCCCTTGGAAGCGTCAAGTTACTGTTGATGTAATAAATCAAGTTTCCAACAGTAAAAAAGGAAAATTGGAATAACTTCCCACCAAAAAAGCCTCAGAATTATGTAATGCTTTGGGAAAGATATGTAATTATTCTTTTCTGCCCTTTTTCTTGCTTTTCTTCCTCTCTCCTTTCCTCTCCCCCTCCTCCTCCAGAATCTTCTTCTCTCTTTCCCTCCTTCCTTCCTTCCATCCGTCCGTCCTTCCTTCCTTCCTTCTTTCCTTCCTTCCTTCTCTCCTTCCTTCCTTCCCCAGATTTATTTATTATCTCCCATTCATTAAGACTCCACTGGATTCTGCAAATACAGCATTTCATTGTTTCTAAGGCATTTTTTTTTCTTTCACATTTAACCCGTGAAGTTGGAATGCATCTCATATTTAATGGTGTCTTAGAGTCAATGAACTATGATACAATGGTGCATAACAATGAATCTCTGTTTTAAAAGAAACAGAATATTTTAATCAAAATCTGAGTATAAAATGCAAATTATAAGTAAATTGTATGCAAGGATTATACATGCAAGTGAGGGAGGCACTAAATCAAATCTTTCTACATATTTCTTTGGAAGTTCTGTTTAGAATTATTTACTTTACAACTCAACGTTTGCTATTTTCATTGCTTTAATAATTTTAGAAATCTGAAAATAATGGAAAAATGATTTTGACTCAACCTCCAAAAGCACATCTGGTAATTGGCCATTATGAATAAAGCACCCATCACCACCAAGTGGCTTTGTAGCTTAGTTGTAGGAAGGAGAATATAGAAAGAAAGAAGAAAAGTAAAGATATAGTTGCCGAGCTGACTCTTCTAGGTTATAGCAAGTAGGAGGTGCTCAGACTGGTTATAACTTCCACACTTCGAATAGAGGAATTGAGAAAGAATAATAAATGCCCAGAACAGGTGGAAGTAACAAATACTTGTGATGCCAGCTGGTCAATTTTTGCCCAAACTCTTAAGAATAGAATATAATCCCAGGGCTCCCAAGTGCCTTCTCAGCCATAGGATAGGGGGAGCATGCCTGAAAATGAAGTCAACATACAGGAAAGCAGAGCTGAGAAGTGAAGGAAGACAGATTCCTGACCCTTGATGCAGCCATGCCTGAAGTCCGACTCCAGTGGATTTCTCAGTTACACAAGTCAGTACATTGGTTTGGAATTTTAGTTTGCCAGTTTAAACAAAGTTTCTATCCCTGTAATCTAAAGAGTCCTAACCAGTGTGGCATCACATCATATATCCATCCCAGGAAGACTGACATCTGGGTCATGAAATTCTCCTTCCTTGCAAAAGAGGGAGGTATAAGAAGGGCAGCAGGTGGTAGGCTATTCCGCTTGTTCCTCCCATGTGCTCGGCACCTCTTGTAAGCCTCTGCTTTCAGAGTCTGAGTGTTGTGTGCTGATTGGGACAGGTAGACTCAGAAGAAATGAGCAGCTGCTCCTTCTGCAAGAGCCCTTAGGCATTCTTATGAACTTGGAATCAGCTCTAAGACTTAAGCCTTTGGTAATATGACCTGGGGAGGCCAAGACCATGGTGTCTTAAGCCCTCCCGAAATCCAAAAGCCAGAGAGAAACCTACAGCCCTACGGTGATACCTCACACTTGGCCTGGGCAGCAGACCCAAGCAGAAAGATAGCCTGGATTTTTATAGCGTGTTCAGATTCTTTCTTAGGGATCACATTTACTGCCTGCCTCTGCTGCTAAGTACCATGACCACTGAATCAGAGATTCCCTGTCTTACTTTTGTAGTCAATTCATGGCCATCTGGAACATTCTCCAAGTCTTAAGCTCTTCATCACTAGAATAGGCTTAATGATACTTAATGCAAATAGTTGTTATGAGTATTGAATGAGATAAAGCCCAATTAATACTGCTATTATACTAAAAGATAAAATATACATATTGGATTTCCCCAATGTTAAAATCATGGAGATTACACTTTTTTACTTTATAAAATAGTTATGAACTTATTTATGTAATATTTCCTTTTTTAACAGTACTATATTGAGGTATGATTATATATAGTAAAATGTAAAAATATTAATTGTACAGACTGATGATTTTTGACAAATATATACACCTGTGTAATGAAAAAATACCTTTCGTCACCCTGGAAATTTCCTTCCTGCCCTTTACCAGTCAATCTCCCTCACTCCAGTTGATTTCTATCACCCAAGGTTAGTGTTACTTCTTTTAGATTTTCTCATTAAATGGAATCATACAGTATCTACACTTTTGTGTCTCCCACCAGCAATGTATGAGAATTCCGGTTGTCCCACACCCAAATCAGCATTTGGTATTTTCAGTCTTTTTATTTTTGGCTACTCTAACGGGTGTGTAGTGATATTCCATTGTGTTTTTAATTTAATATTTCTTTTTATTCCTCAAGTTATCATGTTTTATCATTAAACTCATTCTACCCAGTTATTATATCAAAGTTATTAAAACAATGAGTTCTAATCTTAGTTTTTCAAATTCTAAATTGACAGGTGAATATTTCATTTTAAACAATGTACGCAATGTTAACCATTTCGGGAAGGACCCCTTAAGATGCTGTAAACTAAGTCATGGTTTCTAGACCCAAAATTTTACTTTAAATAAGAAAGCTATTTAGCTACATATTTAGCAAGCTTGCCTTTAGCATCTAAGAAAAAGAAAAAAAGTGCTGCTTTATATATTTCTCATTGTTTCGTCTTGGAAAAGAGTCCCATAAAAACAGGCACTTGTGCACATACACACACACACACATACACACACTCTGAAGCCCAATCAGGTAGAGATGAAATGCATGCACGTGGTAACAGTATAGGTCCAGGGCAAGGTATAGCTCAGTGGTTCTCAACGCTGTCTATACCAGGCCCCACCTGCAGATTTTCTGATTTAGCTGGTTTAAGGAGAGTCCTTTATAATTGATATTTTTAAAAAGCTCTCCAGGTGATCTTAATGTTCATCTTAGGTTAAGAACCACTAGCAATTGATATTTACTGAGCTCCTGCTATGGCTAAAGCTCCGTATTAGGTACTCTGGGGGACGTAAAGGGTTAAGGAGTATAAAGTTCAGTACTCCGGGGGATATAACGAAGACTATGATATATGAAGAACCCACAATAATATGATCTTGAGCCACCATAGACTCTACCGCTGGCATCCTAAGCGCGTGTGGAACTGGTGTGGGATAGTAGCATCACCTCTAGGTGCTGGCAGGATGCACGTGGACGTTCCCTGTGCACACACACAAACAGCACATTGAAAAGACACCTATAAGAGATCGAGACTCATTGGTGTCATTATTTGTGTCATGTGCTGCACAAGCAGTACCCTCTACCAGAGATTCTCAAAATGTGCTCTGCATTACAATCACCTGGAGAGCTTTTTAAAAATATCCGTGTCCAAACCCAGGACTGTAGAATTCCAGAGAGTGGGCCTAGGGGTTCCAGGAATCTGCATTTTTAGTAAGATCTCTGGTGATTCTAACTCACTGAAATGTTCCAAACCACTGTATAAACCAGCAATTTTTTCCCTTCTGGGGACAGTGTCCACCTGTGTGAATGTGATCACGGGGGTTGGGGATGGGGAGTGGCATTATAACCAGATATTGAAATAAATTTTGCCTGTAACCAAAACTGTTGCCTTAAGGCATAGTTACCAAAGGTGTTAATGATACATCGGTAACAGCCATTGTTAGGTGCAGGGGCATAGATTGACTAGGTTGTTGGTAATGTACAGTTCCCACTTCCCTAGCTGTCATATCTATCGCTTCCTTCCAACTACAGAAAAAAGTATCAGAAAGTCAATGAGTGAGTCATATTATTATAAAAATAACTTTTTTGTGTGTGTGTGTGAGGAAGATCAGCCCTGAGCTAACATCCGTGCTAATCCTCCTCTTTTTGCTGAGGAAGACCGGCTATGAGATAACATTTATTGCCAATCCTCCTCCTTTTTTTTTTTCGCCAAAGTCCCAGTAGATAGTTGTATGTCATAGTTGCACATCCTTCTAGTTGCCCTATGTGGGACGCAGCCTCAGCATGGCCTGAGAAGCGGTGCGTTGGTTCGCGCCCGGGATCCGAACCCGGGCTGTCAGTAGTGGATCGCGTGCACTTAACTGCTAAGCCATGGGGCCGGCCCTAAAAATAACTTTTTATACACTCTTACTTTTAGGAAAATGATTGGTACCTTCAGTATTCTAACTATTGTTGATTAACACATTATTTGCTCAAACTGTGTTCACCATAGTGAACATATATGAGAATATTTAGGGATATTTTAAATACTCAAGGGAATCACAGTGATCCTCGACATTTGTCAGACATCTTATGGACCACTAGCTCAAGGTTGCTCACTGTTCAGACATTACATTGAGCTACATTCCTTTAGACGACATCATGTCTTTGTGAAGCTGAGTTTTGGGAGACTTCTGGGATTAAAAAGCAAGTATAATGAGAAAATCAATGTAGAACCAAAAATGATGTGTGGGTGTCCAATCTGACTCTGAGGTTTGAGAAGCTGTGCAGAGTCCAACAAACATGCACATCTATTGGTAAGTAACTGTGATTATTTAAGAATAAAATAAAAATATTATTTGTTTTCTCAAATTATACATATTTTTTTCAAATGGCTACTAAGCTGTTAGGACATAAGTTCTAAGTTGTTTAGATTTAACTGCTTGGTGAACTGAATTGCTAGTGTTTGTTTGTTGGCTAAGGGGTTCTGTAAAAAAATTATTGACATACTTAAGGGCACTTGGAACTGACATGTCTGATTGCAGCATACCAGTGAATTCTCAGCAACAGAGCTGGGAATTAGTGCTCTTGACAATCTAGATTTTAATATACCTGAATTTGGCTTGTCTCCATCCAAATTCATCTATTTATTCAACCAATATTTATTGAAAACTCACTATAAAGTACAAAGCACCCAGGGGCATACACCGACAAAAGATATGAGACTTCCCTTGTAAGTTTCCTTTTTATCTGCCTACGCAAATATGCTTCCTACAAGAGGAACCATTCAGTGATAAGATCTTCCTTCTGTGCCACACACGTAAAAATGCCATATCCCTGAAGAAAGAATTAGAACAACTATTAATTCTACCACATTACCATCTTCTACTTCCCCAAATTATGCAGGTTTATCAATAATTCAGGAAAACTTCCTGTGCGATGTACTAGACAATTTGAAGCTGTCAGAGCGATAGCTTTAGCCAGTGTAGCAAGATGACATTTGTGGCTCAGGAACTGGAAGGCAGACTCAGCATTCACTAACATGATCATTATCCTTCAAGGGTGAAAGATTAGTCACTTCCCCTTTAGGAGAGACCGCACTGGACGTGCTGGGAAATAAAGAAGGAGAATTTTAACTTCAGAATCAATCTTATCCCACAGGATAAACACTCTTGGGAAAGTTCTACTAGTTATTGTTTTTTCTTCTTCTTTTTTTAAACTGAATAATACTCCTGGTATTTTAAACAGTACAACTCCAAATACCAGGGTAACATGATGAAAATTTAATACCAGAAAATTTTAAAGTGGTTATCTAAAAAATCATTTTATATTTTACTTCATAGCAAGAAATATTATGCTGCTGTCAATGCATGCCAAGAGGGCACTGAGATAATTCAGGCCCTCAAATATTTGAAAGTTCCTTGCTGGAAGTTCTGCATGATTCCCAAATTTATTGTGATTTCTTTCAATGAGACAGATTTGGATTTAGAGAAAAACGTTGAAAAAAAGACATAGTTTTTAAAACATTCTCTCATATTTTCTTCCACTATTCCTTAACTAGACTTTGAATTATTGAGTCATCAAGAAAATGGCCAAAGGAGGAGACGGGAGAGGAAGAAGAAGGCGGAGGAGGAAGAGGAAGAGAAAGAAGAAATATGTAAATATTAGCTACAAGAGAACTGGAATAAGCTGAATTTACCATAGTTAATTAAGTTGAAAATTAAACCTGGCATTGCAAAATTTGCTATTATGCCAAAGGATTTCCACCAGGGGAAATAACCATCCTTCTCTAGCTTAGAAGAAAGAAAACACCTCATTTGACGTGTTGTCTTTGTTCAAGAGACTTGTTGCAAAGACTCACTACACTGAATGGAAGACTGCCACCTACTGAGGCCACCAGCACCTGAATGGGAGAAATAAGCAGTCTTCCTCATGGGTCTCCTTTGCTCCTCAAATGTGTCCTAAAGCTCCAATGTTTATTTCAGCATTCCAAGTTTCTTCATCCATTCTCCCACTCATCCCTTAGGTGGAAAAGTGATTCCTCCTCCACTAACCATGTGCTGGTGGATTATCTATTTTGTCAATCTGAATATCAGTCAAAGGTGTTCATTTACATAGGAAATTATAGCTGCTAACCACTTAAAACATTTCTAAACATTTCACATTTACGGTTTGCTAAGGTCAACTGGTACTCTTTTGAATTTGAGTGGCATAAAGACATAGTGGGTTGGTGTTTTGTTGGGGTGGGCATTAAGAAAGCTATTTACAAAACTATTACTTAAATTTTGAAATACTGAACTGGCTTGGCATCTGTTATCAGCTGAATTGTGACCCCCCTGCCCCCCACAAATTCATATGTTGAACTTCTAACCTCCAGTACCTCAAAATGTGACTGTATTTGGAGATAGTGATACCGAACCTCTAATCTCAGGTCTGCGCCCGATTCACAATAAGCCAATCACTGAGACACCAATGCTTGGAGATAGACAAAGGTTTATTCAAATTGGCCAAAATGAGAAGCCAAGAGAGGATGTTTTCTCAGATCTGCCTTAACACAAGAAGAAAGCAGGGGGTCTAAGCTAAGGGGCCTGGGAAGTGGAGTTTCGTGGAAACAAAGGGGAAGTCCGTGTTTCTTTCACTTCAGATAAGACCTTGAGCAACTAGAGTTCTTTGGTGCCGGCAGCAGCTGGGGTCAGGTCATCTGGTGGTCATAACTTCCTTGAAGGCCTTCTTTTTCTTCTGTAAAACAAGCTCATAAATCCTTGTGACCACTGAGTCACCCCTCTGGTTAAACAAGAAAACAGCAAATTAGAAAGCTATAATTTTGCATGGGCTATGAAGCAAGCATTTGGGCTCAACAAATATATCTAACGGGGATTAGGGTTATTTATCTAGGATTTACATGTGTACTAACTTCTTTTGTCTGTGGCTGTGTTGGGAACACAGGTCGAAGGGTAACCATGTTCTTATGGAATATTTATAGTAACCCTCAGGTACTCAGCTTCAATAGGGTCTTTAAAGAGGTAATTAAGTTAAAATGAGGCCCTTATCCAATCTGACTGATGTCCTTCTAAGAAGAGGCGACTAGGACATACGGAGAGACACCCGGAATGCGTGCACCAGAGAAAAGACCATGTGAAGGGATAGCAAAAGGACAGCCATCTACAAGCCAAGAAGAGAGGCTTCAGAGGAAACCAATCCTGCAACATCTTGATCTTGAACTTCCAGCCTCCAGAACTATGAGAAAATAAATTTCTGTTGTTTGATCCACCCAGTCTGCTAGGCAGCCCTAGCAAACTATTATGGCATCTTGGAATTTAACTGGTGTATGTTTGAAATCTTATAATATTGTTGAACCATTTTTTAGTCTGTTATAGAAGCCTTAAAAAAAATAGAGGAGATTCAGATTTCTCTTCTAAGGAGAGCATGGTTTTTTAAGAATTATTTTTAAAATCTTCAGTGTTCTCCATTGATAAAAATGTTGAATAGAATTCTGGAAGAGAAATAGAAATGATTCTAAGTTTGCTTTTGTTTTAAAATTCTGTGAAAGAAATAGGGCTCTGAACATCCCAGTGAGATGTGATTTTCTTAACTCATTTAACAGGAATAGCGTTTTTTGAAGTATGCCCAATTTGCAGTGAAAGTTAGTTATTAAATTTGAGCTTAGCTGGTCTTTTACCTATGTCTAGTTAAGTTTTATAGTAAGCTCTGATAGCTCTTTTCAGTTTCATAGCTTTCTCTGAATTTATATTTGCACAACATGTGCTGGTTCATATAAATCTGATTGGTTTCGGTGGTGTTTTCCCATGAAAATGAGCTACTTAGAAAAAAAAGAATTTTTAGAGCTCTGTCTGTGGAGTCCTTATATCTATCTCAATAAATACAATTAAAATAGTAAAGTTTGTATTTTGTAATTGATAAAAATGTAAATGAAGTCCTTAAAAATGTTAACATCACATTAAGATGATTCGTAAGCATTCAGGGTTCCACAAGAAGAAAATAAATGCTTTCTCATCTCTCGAACCAAATAGTTGGTTCTTGATGTGAGTTTAGTAAAATCTTGAGTCAAATATTGTGATTCCCAAGGATTTTATGTTAATATTTTTCTGCTGAGAATTCACCAGAGAGTCTACAGGACCACTATGCTTAGTAACTACTTTCTCTGTTCATGTAAATTCTGTAGCTGACAGATGGCTTAAAACCTAGGCTGTCTCTCTGAGTCATCCTTCAGGAAGGACAGTAAATAAGTACAAAGAGTTAACTTGATAAGGTTTTCCTTTGACTATTTTCCAGAATTACCGTTGGTCAAAATGGTTAAGGATGCTAATACTAATTTTGCTCTTGTTAAAATAGGTTATGCTCTTTTTCTTTTTTTACTAAACTAGGTTTCTTTCTCCAAAACCTATCTCTCAGCCATTCATCATGGTGATAGAATTATCATAACTAGGAAAACTGATCACACGCTCTCCTCTGAGGCAGGTGGTAAAACAGTTCATTAATTTGTTCCCCAAGTCGGTCAGCTGATGCTTGCTGTCCTCGATGAGTGGTCAACTGTAACCAGGTGAAAGAAATGTTTTAGAAAGTCATTAAAAGAGCAATTTGAAGCAATATAGTATACTGGGATAGCATTATTACACATTTCTTATCAAAATGGCATTCTACATAGATTAGAGATAGGGTTGCAAATTTCAATGGAAACAACTGAGATTAACTGCCATTGATATTCAAAGGATAAATGACAGCCAGCAATTAGATTTCTAGAGTGACAAATTGAGTTTCAGTTATGCACAAAGTCTATAACATCTTCATAGCATAATTTTCAGATCCTGCTCTCCCACTTACATACACGTCTTAAATATTCTACACGTATTTGAGTTGCCAGAAAAAAAAAACTGTATTTAGGATTTGGGTGCTATGTCTTATTACATGAAAATATCTAGAAATGCAGTTCTGAACCATTATTTTGCCTAGCCAAATTCAGCAGTGTTATTCTACTTGTAATGTACAAAATTCTTTTCAGAGCAGCACATGTGCTGTTCCCTTTACATTAAGAATTTGTAGAGTCATCTGTCAATATTTCAGTGACAAACCCTCAGCTCATGAGTCATCTATACCCATACCTGGGACTCACATCAGGCAAACAAAGAACAGGAATCTGAAAATAAGTGTAATGTTAAGATTTGACAAAGTGAAGAGGCGGCACACGTATATTCACTCTTTGCTTGAAATTTGTCATAATAAAAATAAAAAATTTGGCAAGGTATTTTATTTGAAAGAATATTGAAGTTACTTTATGTTTATTATCCGTGATTTTTACTTCTGTTTTCGTCAGTTCGGGCTGCTATAACAAAGTATCATAGACTGGGTGGCTTGTAAACAACAGAAATTTATTGTTCACAGTCTGGAGGCTGGAAGTCTGAGATCAGGGTGCCAGCATGTTTGGGTTGGTGAGAACCCTCTTCCAGGTTATAGACTGCCAACTTTTTCTTGTATCTTCACATGGCTGGGAAGAGACAGCTCTGGATTCTTCAACCCCTTCCTTCTAAGGGCACCAATGCCATCATGAACGTTATACCCCCATGACCTCATCCAAACCTAATTACCTCCCAAAGATCCCACCTCTAGATACCATCACACTGGGGATTAAGCTTCGACATAAGAATTTGGGGGGGAACACAAACATTCAGCTGATAACTTCTCATTGTACAGTCTATCTCTTACTAATAAGGAAAATATAATGAAGTTTTTATTATGTATTTTAAATATTTTATACACCATTATATGTTCCTTGTTAATTGATTATATTGAAAACATAAGTTTTTGTCAAAGTGTTACATGCACATGATTTTAAAAAATCAAAGAATTCAGAAACGTTTATAATGAAAAGCACCTCTGCCCCACTTCTTTCTTCCCCCAGTCCTGTTCCACAGACAACGGCCACTTTTAAATGTTTCTGCCTTTAGCTCTTCTGGTAGTTACCACTGCAACTTTAAATAGTATATGCTGATATTTTTTGATTGATCAAAATTGATTGATCAATTTTGATTTGATTGATCTATTAGCTTTCTGCTCTGATAAACGAGAATTTAGGTATGTTAACTCCCCCAATGCTTCCCTAGAAAGTTTTATATCAATTATTCATTCATCCACCCATTCATTCACTCCGCAATTGCTTAATACTTTCCTATTCCAGGAGATTTTCTAAGTGCCTGGATACGTCAGCCAATAAAAGAGACAAAATCACTGCCTTTCTTGGGGTGGAAAATAAACAGCACAATTAAGTAAATTATATGTAGTATGTTAGAAGGTGATCAGAGCTACAGAAAAAAGGTTAAGAGGTAAAGCGGAAAGGGTAAGTGAGACTGGGAGTACTGAGGGCGGGTGGGTCCTCAAGGTCTGAGAGAGTTGGCCATGCAGATACCTGGTGGCAGAGTGCGCTGGGCAGAGGAATCAAGCAGCGCTAAGCAGGTGCTTAGGAGCCCGTCACACATGTGTGATGAATGACAGGAGACGCAGTGGCGAGAACAGTGAGTGAGGGCAGGAGTGCGAGATGAGGTCGAGGTGGGGTAGGGGAGAGCAGCAGATCATGAAGGGTCTGGCAGGCTCTCGGAAGGCCTTAGACTTTTACTCTGAGTCATCTCTGAGGTCTTTGCATGGTCATGAGCAGAGACATACTGGGACCTTTCTTAGATCTTGAAAGATCTCTCTGGCTGCTGAGTTTGAATATTCTGTAAACGGACACTGAATGAATGAATGACGCAGGGAGACCAG